TGTGTTCAGGTTGATGTGCAGTGTTAGGTTTCCGCCACACATAGCGTTTTGCATGTAGACCAAAAAGTTCAGTTTTGGTCTCATCTGACCAGAACACCTTCTTCCACATGTTTGCTGTGTCCTCTACATGGCTTGTGGCAAACTGCAAACAGGACTTCTTATTCCTTTCTTTCAACAATGGCGTTCTTCTTGTCACTTTTCCATAAAAGCCAGATTTGTGGAGTATTACACACAGGTGAACTCTATTGACTAATTAGGTGACTTCTGAAGGCAGTTGGTTGCACTGGATTTTATTTAGGGATATGAGAGTAAAGGGGGCTGAATACATATGCACGCCACACTTTTCAGATTTTTATTTGTAAAAAATCTTGACCACCACATATCATTTTCCTTCCACTTCGCGATTATGTGATACTTTGTGTTGGTCTATCACATAAAATCCAAATAAAATACATTTAGGTTTGTGGTTGTAATGTGACAAAATATGGAAAAATTCAAGGGGTATGAATACTTTTGCAAGGCACTGTAAATGAATACAACTTTGCTTATCACACTGGGAGATATGATGAATCACTGGTAGAATCTAAGAAGAAGCTGCATCCAGAGGGATCAACTCTCTTCACCACAGCTAAGAAGCATGACCTGCAACTGGACCTGTCAATGAAGTGTGTGCGGGAGTTCCAATGAAACCCCGACAAAATGTCAATACTTGTGATACCCTGACGACTACAGTATAAACAGTCACACCAAAGAGCTTAATTATGATCTATAATCCCTGTCAAATGACATTCCCCTCTGGCTGCACCATTCATAGAGCAAGACAGCATGCCACAACAAAAACACCAGCCTGGGCAGTGATGTGCCCTCCTGAGAGGACACTGAACTAATGACTGGATTCGGTGGATAGTGTGTGGATGAGAAAATGTAGCCCGTGTGCATTGTGACATTAGCTAGTGCCAATGTGTACTGGCTGTGCCAAGCCTGAAGAGCAAACTACAACCACAGCACACATTTAGTGATTATCAACCTGCTACTAGGAAACAGGCAGGAAGAAAGCTTATACAGTGTGTTGGACAGACAGGTCAATGTAGGAACGACAGTAAGTAGGACTACTGTACAAACCTGTGTGAGTAAAGTTTGAACTGTGCTTGTATTTGTGTGTGGTTCTGTGTAGATTTCTGCAGGGACCCTGACTGCCAGATTACTGGAGCCAACACAGAAATTACTGGATACAGTTGTGGGTTGATTTCAGAAATTCCAAAACTTGAATCAAACAGAAGAAAAAAAAAGGAAATGAAACATAAAATTTCCTTATGATCTTCATTCCTTGGCCAGTGGGGAATGCTAAAATAAATACACATATAACACAGCATTGTATATACCATCAGATGCACCAATAAACTATGTGGAATGATACAAGTGGATGTTTGTGCTGAGAGGTGTGTAATCACGGACAGATAAGATGGAAGGAGGGGAAATAAAAGTGGGAAAAAAAATCAAAGGAATTAGGGGAAAAGAGTTGGGGAAATTAGCAAGAACAACTGAATGACTGACTGGAATACTAAATAACATGTGGTATGACTAGACAGAGAAGTGAAAGGACGATGAACCAGAGGCAGCCTCCACTGGAAATGCTAGCCTGTATCAGCTCTCTTCACAGTGCTGCCTTCAGCAATGGCTCTCATGGCTGCCAAAGCTGAACTTTCTCACAGTGACAATATGACCACAAATGTGATTCATGGCATTATTCTAATATGGCACTGTCATCTAGCCAAGTTAATTCACCAAGAGATTGTTGTTGTTGTTTTTTTCCAAGATAGGATTTTAAACCAACCATTATTTTACACAACAGCTGATTCTTTTCAAGTAAACCAATGCAGAGCTTCACATTCTGGTAAAGTTGACACATTTAAACTTGGAGCTGGAGTGGGTGCCAGCGCAGGTGATTACACTTTATGTGAAAAACATAGCATACACTAAGGAAGGCAATTACATCTCTGTCACTCTCAGAAGATTTTCCCTAGCCTCTCAGCCTTCCAAACACTCGAAATGAAATATTCAAAGTCAAAAGTGAGTGAACTTGAAATTAAAACTGTCAAACCCAGACAAGAGACAGGGTTTCAGAAAGGTAATCACAGAATATGAGAGGCAGAGAAATAGAGCGTAAACTAGGGGATGATCTTTTACTTTTTTCCCCATGGAACTCCCAGTTTAAGCCGAGGCCACTCTGTACCTGAGCTGAGATGAGATGGAATCTTGCTGCCATGCACGTGGGACTCTTGAGTCATTACTGCCACATTGGTTTTGGAATCAAACAGTTGCGACGGCAAATCAGAGGGAGAAAACCACAAGGATTCGGCGGCTCAATTGAAATGCAGTGTGCAATTAACTTTATAATCTGTTTACAAATGAGGTCTACCCGACCACAGTCTCTGAAGTGTGTGGGTGTGTGTATTTGTATGCAGGTGAAGGACTGCATTTGTGTACTCTATGTGAATAAATGCACATTTTTACTATGGGGTGAAGCTATGTATATTAAAGAAGGATTTATAATCCATATGTCACTACATTTATTAAAACCATGGAAAGTGGATATAAATGATATTAATTAATCAAATCAAATTTATTTACGTAGCACTTTAAAAATGCATCGGCTGTATGATGATGTACATCAGCTCTGGAAATTACTATACACAAAAAGGAGCAGGTACACACTTTCAATACAGAACATCATGTTTAATAGATCAGTGTTTACCTGTGAGACTTACGTATATACTTTATGTAAAATACAAATGAGCATAAGAAAAGTGAGACAAAGACGATAAAAAAGTTTGGTAAATAGGACATTTTTCCAGTATTCAATGATTTATCATGATGATCTAAAATAGTTTTGCACATGTGAAAAGCATCTTTAATACAAGACGCTGTGTCCTCCCTCTGACGTGACTTTAAATAGCTTTTAATCAGGCAGCCTGAGATGACAACACAGTCATATGATTACGCATGTGTGTGCGAGCACATGGTGTAGGTTTAGATCCATTTGTCACCTGGATGTGCTCAAAGAAATCCACAAACATCTGACTGCATCACACACTGTGCTCACTATCCCTGGCTCCACCTTGTCTGTCCATTTGTCCATCTGTTTCCATTTGATCAGCTGAAGAATTCAGAAGACAAACAAATTCTTAACATAAGGAAACTGAGCAGCCAGCAGGTCAGCCGCAGATTGCCTGACATCTGACAATGACTCAATTTAACCAGAAAATTACTGAGATGTAAAAAGCTGCTGTAGTGCCCCCTGAGGCTGGAAAACATGTTTTGATAGTTCATTATTCTTCTGTGGGTTTTCTAAGTGTGTTCTGTTTTCTTCACACTGCCTTCCTACTTAATTTTTCTTTTTGTTTTCTCTCCTTCTCCTCAGGTTACTGCTGAGCTATAAACGCTGCAGTCAAGTAGGTAGGGCTGCTATCACAGCGAAATGCAATTATGTTGCAATATCGAATAAATGCTTTGGATATTGTGTGCTCCCTGCTGTGGAAAACTGCTAATTCTTCATAGTAATGTGATGCTGGTTGGAAAACATTTCAGTTCCATTCATCTTACAATATATATATATATACAATATATATATCTTATAATCTAATGGGAAACACATTAAAGGTGAGAATGGCATTGACAGCTTGTCATTATTTTGTTAGTGGCAATAACGGTTAGCTGACAATTCCTGATACATTATATACATTAATCACAGTCTCAACTCAGACTTGGTCCAAGTCAGTGATTGAGTTTCTGAGAACTCTTTTCTTAAAGTTGCAAAAGTTATTCACATGCAAAGAGAAAAACCACAAAATGGCACAAATTGGTCTGTTCTGCAGCCCAGTCTGTGGCATTATACTGTAGTAAGCGAATGTACAGATCAAACTTAGAGAAACAGACAGAAAAGCCTCAAAGGAAAAATAAAAATAACATTCAGGATTTCATCATGGGAAAGGAATACTTTTTTTTTTTAATTGTCAGGTGAATATTGTTAAGTTAAGTCACAATCTGTGTCACATTATAAAAGTCTAATGTAACTATGGATACGTTTTTTTTTATTTTCCAGCTCTAGACTTTACATTTGTCTGAAATAAAAGCTGAACTAATGTCACCTGGTTTCTAGAGCTGCAGAACTGGACACTTGTAAAGAATAATAAGTTGTAAATAACTGATTACAGTTTTAAATAAATAAAAGCTGAGTCTTAGTATCCACATCCCATTTAAGACAGAATGACTACAGGAAAATATGAATCATCCACTCACACTTCGACCACAATTAGTCTCGAGGGACAGAATTGTGTGCTGCTACTAAACACAATAAAAACAAGTTGAAAAGAAATTCATATTCACGTCCAGGGGAGGAATAGTAAAGAGATATTGCAGATTAAGGTGCGATTAAAGTCCAAGTGTGGTTTCTTTGAACCCAGGCCAAGAACGCGGAGGCATACAGAGACAAATGAAAGGCGAGATGACACTTGTGTCATTGTGTAATAAAGGAGATAGACTGTAGAAAGATACATCAGCCAAAAAGAGTGTGGACTGCACCAGACTAATTGTCACTATGTAGTATAACAGATGGGAACAGCGATGCCCTAATGGAACAACACACATATCCAGCCTGGTGTCAGCACTTAAGGTGTATGTGTGAGTGACCACTGGCCAGATAATGATGACCCACAATGCATTTTGTGGTGACACAGCTGTGGGCTCTCTCAACAAAAAGACCACATACATGGTTAGGATGGATAGAGTGGCCAGACACAAAATAGAGGAAGAGGCATAAAGAAGGAAAAGGAGGGATAGAATGGAGAGAGCAGAGCAGGACTGTGTCAGGAAATGAGACAGGCGATGAGGTAACAAGCAATGGTTTTATAAAAAGAGCAAGAAAGACAGTGAGTAGGAGAGAAAGTGAGACAGAGAGTAGAGCAAGAGAGAAACACTCTTACCATGTCAATGAGGCTCTCCTGGATCCGGTTCAGTGTGGTTCTCAGTCTGCTGCTGATAAGGCCCAGACCAGATGACTCATACTGTAGAATAACACACATACACAACAGTTAGTGTGTGCACCGTGCAGAAACACCTTCCTCTTTAAGAACACAGAGTTCAGCAGAGTGTGAAGGCAAGCACGCACAACCACATCTGTTCTCATCTCACATAGTCGGAGACAGGAGAATCTTTACTTTCTGCTTCTCAGCTCTAATCCAATAGAGGGGGGAGAAGTAACTGAGTGGAACATCCATCAAAATCAGACAATCACACTGGTTAAAGTAGATGACAGACAAGCGGCGGAGAGGGTGAAAGCACAGCAAGTTCAACATCTAAATGCACACCTTAAGAGCTTTAATTAAACACACCCCAACTGTTGACTAGTATTCCAGACTGACAAAACAGGCAAACCCCTGTGTACTAATCATAAAGTAACACTTCCAGTTCCACTCTTACCAAGCATGCAGGACCCACCACCCTGGCAGTTCCCGCCTCTCTGCCACCATGGGTTGGCAAAGATGGGCTTGGGACAGGCTATGGAGGACAAATGGAAAGCACAAAGGAAAAACAAGAAGCAAAATTTAAAAGAAAAGAAACTGAATGCAAAAACAACATATGCAGAGTGGACAAGACATAAAAAGCTGCAGACTCTCTGTGCAGTGTGGTCCACTCAAAATAAACAGTCAAACTGACTTCATAAAAAAAAGACAAGGAAACAATATGACAGCTGTCTGTCTCCACAGTACCACAGCTGACATGTAGAGGCCCGTTTACAATGTAGTGTAAAGATGTGCACATGATAAAATGGCAAGACAGTGTTTAATTATTTAACAAAGGAACTCTGCCACATAAAGCTCCGTCTACTCATCACAGGAAGGACTACACTGCCTTCTGTATCACTAAATTTGGAGTTGCCAAATAAAACCCCTGATGATGTCATCAGGGTTATCTAAAGACTTTATTATTGAGATTGGCATTATAGGAAATGTAGCATCTGGAGTTTTTGGAGTACAACTCCTACCACAGACTAAAAGTCAGGATATCTTGAACTCTGCTGTTTTAATTTTGATCATTCTTTTTTAATTAGTTTCTTTTAAGTCCTGCAACTTTATAGTAGTCAGTCAAAGTTAAATCCCCTTAGATTGCAGGGGGCAACAGTAACTCCAACTATATGATAACCTAGATTAGATTAAATCTTAATTCATCTAGGTTCACAATTGGTTGAAAGAAGCTATAATCCAGTTCTGACAGTAAAGGGATTTTTATTCAAGGTCATAGGTTAAAAAATAAGTGGCTGCAAGCTGAATAACATCCAGTATGAAGAGCTGTCAGCAGGAGTCAAGAGTGAAAAAGAACTATTTCTTGCATTGTTGCTCATTTTTCAGAGAAGCAATCTATTCAAGTGCCAGATACTTTCCTGATCTGCTTTCTCTTTGCTTTTCTCTGTGCAGATCTGTTTCAGCACCTGTTTTCGTCTTCATTGTTTTGGTAATCAGCTTCCTACTCTCTTTTTGCCACCATATTGAAAAACAGACTGACTCAGTACATAATTTTCCATCTTTATCTTCCCTCCACCTTTAAGTTCAATTTTCATCTCTCTCTCCATCTTGCTCTCTTCTCCTCACTACATCTTTCTTCTGTCTATTCCTAGAATAAAAACCCAAATAAGATTGTCTCTCTGAGGGCACAGATTTCCATAATTTTGAAACATTAATCGGTTTTCCAAAAAACTGTTTGTAAATCTGCCTCTCCTGCTGCCAGCAACTGAAAGAGTGGATGGTAATGGCAATGGAGAATCTGTGAGCTCAGCACTTAATGCATCTTTAGCATACGTGGGACAGAGTCAATAGTACTGCTTGACTTGACAGGGCCGATATGCGCAGATAATGGAGGTATTTACCCCTCTGAATATTAATGCCGCCCATTACTCTGCAAGCAGACAAGTCGAGTAGCTTCATCTTGATTCAAGAGGCGTAAAGAGAGCAGAGCCTAGGTCACAGCACCAGTATTTGTGCATAGCAATTTCCAGGAACTTTTTAAATATTCATGGACACATTAGCATTTCGTTGTAGGTACCTCTGAGTGAGCCCATTAATGAAATGGGTGGGTTCATGAGGACTAGAGGTACAGTGGGGGAAAAAGAAAGTGAGAGTCTGAGAGAGATGCAGACAGAGAGATAGTGATCTGTATGGAAGAAGTTGGAAAAAAGATGGAGGGATGAAAGAAAAGCTATGCTATTGCATGTGAAAGGAGCAGAACATGTAACATTAAGGACATAGCACAAAAAAGGACAACCGTTTAAGACAAGACATATAGTGACAGAAACACACCCTCATACTGTGCATGGGCCTACAGTGGTCAGACTAAGACAAACATAATAGGGACCCCTTGACAAGCTGCAAGTCACAATGAGCACATCACCTTCCCACATCTCTCCTGGAAACACACACACACGCAAATAATCTATATTAGACCATCATGGATCATTCATCCTCTTTATCTCTTCCACCTCGACCGGACAGAAGTCATTTTGCTGCTATCAATAGCACTTCCCTGAGGAAGGTGCTATCACAAATGCTGTTTTCTCTCTTTGTGAGGCACAATATAAATGAGATGTTAGTCTGTAGATGCAGTGAGTAAGACCAGGCTTGCAAGCTGTAACCTCACTGTAATTGTTCAGCAGAAATTGTTACTGTGAGACAGACAGAAATAAGAAAAAGATGGAAGCAGTGGTTAGTCCTTATCTTAGTGTATATTATCTAATAGATTAAAAAATTCAAAAATGAAGGCAGGCAATTCTCTTATAACACTTTGCCTGCAATGCAAAAGAGGTAAATTTAACTAAGCTCCATAAAGTAGTAGTCACAAAATAGGGTAATTCCATCTATTTTACAGTACAATCACAGTGGAAACAATCACAAATGTAAAAAGCAGCAGAGTTGATATCTGAACAGTTGAAACAGAAAAAAAGGGCTGAGTCACAAATGATGTACCATGGCACTGTAGTACTATGATAAGTCACAGCTGTGTGTGGTCACTTAACCACACTCAACTGTGATTTCAAGGGTTGTCAGAAGAGCCTCACATTTTCAGCCAATACAGCCCAATGCAGCTGTGTTTTTCCCATTCCAGAATTTAGTGTGGCTTTACCACTTCCAACATAAATATACAGTACATTGTGTAGTCAAAGAGTAGCCAGGCTCAGATATACCATACCATGTCATTGCGTCCAAAGAAGGTGTAAACAGCATACAGGTAGTAGTCGAAGAGCTGCGACACACAGTGGATGACATCGAAGGCGATTGGCTTCAGGATGTTCATCATCTGCATATACTTTCCTGTACAGAAAGGACATGACAACATGACAGTTACCAGGAGATTGGGTCAGCTGGACAGGCTGAATGTGTGTCAAAGTGTGACACAGGGGGCACCCAGTTTGTGTTTGTTTTTATGTATCTTTTTTTTTTTAATATTGAGTTTTTCACACTTGTTTCAGTTTATACTGAATGACATGTTGCTTTTAAGTAGTACTGAATGGTGCCCTTGAGGGAAATGATTTAACTTCACAAGAAGGTAGCAAAAACAATAAGGTCAAAGCAACAGGTCTGTAAAAAGGTTACTGCTGACTCAGAACTCATGAGTGGAGGGGGAAACATACAGTAGATATAAACCCAGTCTAGCTGGCTTTGCCACAGAGAGCACGGTTTCTCACACACTTTCATTTTATATTCTCTCTTGAATTCTACACCAAAACTCAGACAGCAATCTAACTCCATGAAAAACATACACAGGCTGGATTAGAAGTTAAATCTAACATCATAACACATGGATCTAAATCAATATTACCTATTGTGTGAAAAAAGACAAAATAAAAATATCTGTTTTATTCTGATCTATATGTGCATGGAGGTTCTTAAGTATGAACAGAGAAGGGACACACATTTCTACCGAAAACAACTTGTAAGAAGAAATCATTTATTGTTTGATATGTTATGAATCTGTGTCAGCCCCAAGTATTAAATGAATTAATATAACAAATGATATATTCAGTCATAGGTCCACACTGGAAAGATAGCAGACTAGTCTAATTCCTTTTAACACAGCTACTAAGCTTAACTGGTGAATAAACCTCAACAGGCCAGAGAGGACGCCTGCTGTGGCCAAGTCTAGGCAAGTGTTAGACTGTGTACGTGTGTGTCAGACTCACCGACTAGCCGGATGACGTTGAGGGTGGTGTTGGTGAGGATCGGTGCGTTGGTCTTATTAAGACTGTAGTCTGACCTCTTCTTGCTTCTTATGGTCTCTCGGGACACACTGATGTGTACAGGAAGTGGGGGTGAAAAACGAAAGTAGGACACAATCACGAGATTCAAAGAGACTCAGTAATATGTGTTGCTAATGCGTAATTGCTAATCCACTGCAATGATCAGACGTATTCAAAACCTTACTGAGTCAGAGTCTTGTAATTGATCAATCAAAAGCCATTACACAATGCAGGAGACACAGAAGGACCCCAGACATCAATTGGTGATCCTGGAGCACCAGAAGCCTGACACTGGTCTTTGAGCTACATTAGCCTGCAATCATGACATGGGCCATGTGACCATGTGGCCCATTCAATAATTAACCATTAGTGATTCCTGCTAGTAAGAATATTAAAATAGTATTTTAGTGACTACAGTCTAATGTTAAGTTAATACACACATGGAAAGAAATAGGAAATGTGGTGAGGGAGACATGTCAGGCCTAAGAAATAATGAGACAACACTAACCATGACAGGAAATGATGATTGATAACAATACCTGTGTAATGAGGAGCTACTGAATCAGTAAAAGTATTGGATGTCTTGTTTCCTGTGCAAATCCTAAAATTTAACATCAGCTCTCAAGAGATGCACCTACAAACACAATCCCAGATTCTTAATAATTCAGTCCTCTAAATAAACATATTGCACAGTAGGTTTCCTGACAAAGACTCTCCAAAATTAACAAAGAGGGTTAGGAATTTAATAACTCCATCACGCTGCATTAAAGCATCTAAATTATGTAGTTACTTATAAAGCTCACCTCATGAGTCTGAGAGGACCTAATAATGACAGCTACAATATGATAAGATGATTATTGTTTGCATTAATTATAGGACTACAGAATTTTCCTAAATGGCATTCAAAATTCTTTTTCAATTGAAAATGAATCCTATTGTACAAGGTGCAGAGGAGTGCACGGCTGCCTGCGCTGTTATTAAAAAGTGACTAATCTTTCAATATTCAGCAAGCACATAGGCAGAGGTGGGAAAAAACTATTTTTCATGGGTAGTCAAAAACCTTTATACAAGCTTTATCTACTTAGTAGGCAGAGATGAACTAAAATTATCACTGCTAAATGCATATATCATGGTGTAATGCATGACCTTGCATCCTTTTAGAATCTCCGAAAGAAAGATTCAAGGATAGATAACTTTGTTTTGTGTGTGATTAACATGGGTTGTTGTTCATGTTCACTTCCTTTCATATATTTGGCAGGAGGTAGAAATGATGGACACCTGGGCAGAACTCCTAACTTCACTTGTCATCCCCTGAGCCATGTGTCGTAACAGGCGTAAAACTATTTGTTTTGGAACGGACCTCTTGAGAGGGGCATCACCCGTCTGCTCATCTACGTAGTCTTGCTTGAGCTCCTCAGGGACATCACTGTCGCTGTCGTAGTCCTGATACACACTTTTCTCCAGCTCATCTGACTCGTACTTGAGAAATGGGGAAGAGAAAAATCAGATGGAGGTCATGGCCAAACAGCCGGTGCAAATAAGAAATACAGTACAAATGAAGTCAGTAAAATGGATAAAAAAAAACAACTTGCATGCTATTATAACACGCTCATCAGTTGTGGGGGGGGCTGCCGATTATGGAAGTTTTACAGTAATGAAGTCAGTAAAATGGATTTAAAAAAACAACTGGCATGCTATTATAACACGCTCATCAGTTGTGGGGGGGGGGCTGCTGATTATGGAAGTTTTACAGTAACACAAAGTACACACTAGCTACTCAAGAGCAAAACAGTGTAAAAAAGAAACAATGTTAAAATGCTGATATTAAATGATCTAAAAGTTAACTGAAAACAAAAAAGTAACATAAGCAGCTTTTGGCCCTGATGTGTGCAGAACCATAAGATGACAGGCTTGAGGTGGGAAAGCAGAAAATGAATCGGCCTCTCAGAAGAGAGCTCGGTTAAATCTCCCCTGAAATAAGACCTGTCCTTAAGTGCAAGTTCAAGCAAGACAGGAGCCATATCAAAAGGTTACAAGCTGAAAAACAAAGCAAGCCAGGGCTTTGGTAATCCCAGTAAGTTATAAATAGCAATATTGCTTTTGATGTTGAGCCTAAAAAATATCCATATAAAAAAAGTATATGTTGGTCCACCAGTGCAGAGATATACTGTTCCATTCTTCAATTAAGCCTGGAAGTAAACAGATTTGGACTTTATACTAGTCATTGGTGCAGCATGTGTATTTCAGTGTTAGTGAATATTTTCTGGGCGACCATATCAATGCTATAGTTACACTTCTGGATAAGCCCTGTGGAAGGCTCGATAAAGATAAAATCTGTTTTCTTCTCACCATCTTGTAGTGTCACTCCAATTCAGTTTGCAATCAAAGCTAAGAAGTGCCTTTTGAGAGTTAGCAGTTTTTAAAGTTTTGAATTTTAATTTGATAAAAATGCCATTTTTGCCCATCAATCCACATTCAGTAAGTCATAATGACCAAGTGAAAATGTGTTTTTAGAAATTTATTACAAATCTAAAACAAAAATCTCACATTTACAAAGTATTCAGATCCTTTGCTGTGGCACTCCGACCTGTGGTCCAGTGTATCTCCTTTGCCTTAATTATCCTTGAGAGATATGTCTAGAACATGACTTGAGTCCATCTGTAGCCACCTGACTTCAGTGGACATAGTTTAGAAAGACATACACCTAAGACACGCCACAATTCACACTGCATGTCAGGACATGAAGTCCAAGAAACTCTCTGTAAACCTCTGTGATTCATTTGGTGGCGTGCTCTAGAAGAGGGCATTTCCAAAGTTCTGAATGTTTGAGTGAGCACACCAGTTACACTCTACACACAGAAGTTATTTCACATTTTATGACATAAAACAGAATACAAAAGCAGATCCGTATGAGCCTACACCTGAGAGGTTCATGCTGTTCATGCCTGTCCTTCAGCTGCAGTACTGCTAACCAAGACTGTAAAATAGGCATCTATGCCCCACTGACATCTATGCTGCGATGAGCATTTGCAGCATAGAATGAGCATTTTATTTAAGACTAGCATAGCTGCTAACACTAGTAACACACAGTATACTGGACTGTATATTCGTCATTGTAATGTTTATTGATTCTGCTGCAGCCACAATTTGTCCTTTACTATAATGGTACATGAGACATCCATTAAGTTTTCACATTTGTCAGGCTACCAGAAGTGTTTGCTTTTGGTTGGGGGACAACATAAGAACCCAGTTCTCCCTCTCCAGGTCAAGCTAGGTTGGTCTTCTGGTTTTGAAGATGCAGCTGCACAGACAATACCAAAAGATATACAGTAAAATATGCTCTTAAAGAAGGAGAATGGTGATTTGTCTTCTTTGTCAATTATGTATGGCACCAAAGTGGCAGACCTAGTAGTTTTACTCAGCAACACATGCTGCCAGCAAAAATGAATGGCATCGTACCTGCCAACAACAAAACACTTCCTTTAAGGTAAAATGCTGCCTATTTATATTTAATAAAAACATGGAGCAGAAAATTTGCTCCTAAGAAATAAAAAGGATTCCAATATTGGAGGGCTAGATACTAAATTATACACTAAAATAGACACACTAGGAAGTATTTCTGCACTGAGGAAAACTGATTCTTGGTGGATGAGGACCCAAACATGACAAAGATACTACATTATTACATACAGTTCTACTCTCGAATTTATCACTGGCCTGTGATGGGGCTCCCCACAGATTCCCTTCTTATTTAACCGTTTAAATTACATGTCAGACAATGTGCCAAAGTGCTATCATAATCATGGCAGGTTCTGCACTGCTGGCCCTATACTACCTAAACAAGTCTGGTGACGACAGTTTGAGGGTCGCTGTAAGCCACTTAATGACCCACAGTGATCATAACCCAATTAATCGCCTTGTCTATTTGTTAACTTGGTTGCCGTTTTACCTCAGCAGCCTTGTTAATTTGCATGTAAGCAGGTGTATCTAACTGGTGGCAAAGTGGCAGGACCTGAAGATGTAGCTGCACACCCTTTAAATTAAATTAAAATGTTTGTTTTGAACTGACTGTGAAACACACATTTCATACTAATACAACTACTTCCAAACCATTACAGTAAGTGAGCACCAGATGAAACCATATGTTTGAAACTGGCTTTCAATGGCATTTACCCCATTAGATGCCAGCACATCCTCTGACTCCTCCTCTTTGTGCTCAATGTGCATCTCAAATGGGTTACCCTCCTGAAGGTACTCCTGGAACAGAGACAACTCCTTCTCGGCCGGACTGGTCAAGGATGCAGCCTGTCTGCTTGGGGAAACAGACGGAGACCGACACTGGCCCATAAACCTAAACTCCTGGATTGGAAAAAATGGCACAGAAAGCTGCTTAGCTTTGGTGAAGACAAATAAAAAAAGTAAATGGAGAAAAGGGGTTTGGGATTTAATATAATAAAAAAAAGTAAATGGAGAAAAGGGGTTTGGGATTTAATATAATCTACATAAAATAATTTAATCATTTTGGAAGCTGAGCGTTTCAAAAATTGACCTATTAACCAAATTTCACTCATCTTAGAAAACCACAATAAGTATTACAGACACAGCAAAAGCAGTGTGCTGGCAAGTACAACAAACTGTTGTACATGTTGGAACCCAAAAATCCATCAATCATTCTGTAATGACAGTGGTATATGGCTGGTTACCATACAGTAATGTACACAGAGAAAATGTTCATGCCAGTGGGTTTATTATCAACATTACTTTGCATGTGTGTTTGTTGCAGAATGTGCTCAAGCAGGACAGGCATGAAGGAGAAAACAAGATGTATGGAAATGAAAAACCAGATGTTGAATTAACTCAATTTGTCTTTCTGATGTCTCTTCCTTCCCATTGAGTTGAACCTACAGTAAGCAAAATTATCTATTTTTGAGCTGCTTACAGTATGTATCAATGAGATTCCAGCATCAATTTGGTAGTGACAGTACATGATCTACATTAGGTTTTGATATTATGGGTTGTATTTTTAACTGTTTCTCATGAGAAATTAAATCCTGTAACATGCATGCTGCAAGGGACCACAGCATGCTGTGCTGTGAACTTCACTCCTATGTGGGTACACAGGCTGAAACACTTGCATGGGCAACACACACAAAAATCACTGAGCAGTATCCCTTGTGTTTCATATTCTTATGCAAATTTATCAAAGGTGAGGCTGGGCGATGAGTGCGAAATAAATGAATGCATCTGTGCCTCATTTTCTGGCCTCAGAGCTGTGTTTCTTACTCACATGGAGCTGGGCAATGTTAAAGTTAGACTTCACTGGACACAGTTCCCATGTTTCATTTTCTAGAAACATCCTCAGTTCTTCCAGTCGTGCCCTGTGGGGTTGAGAACAGGCGAAGGGGCATGGAGATAGAAAAAAACATGAGGAAGTAGTCAACACCTGTCTATTAATGACTTTCTCTGTGAAATGTCAGTACTGACTTCAAACACTGCAGAAACCCTTGTTACTTGTCTTGAAGGTGTCTGAAGTATTAGAAGTGAAAGGATGTCGACCACAGGCAAGAAAGAGGAAAGACTCACTGTTGACTCTAACATACTGTAGCACACTCCATAAACTTT